GGATAGTATAGATTAGTCAAAGCTACAATGTATAACAAAACCAAATCCAGCCGGAATTGATTTGCCCTACAAATGAAATCTTGAGTACTTTTAACATACGCACACTGGGCACGATGAAGGTAATTTGCAGAAAGAGGATGTCGGAAAAAGTAGGCCTACATTTGCTGCGCAGGAAAGTCAAAATCTGTTTTTCCATCCATCATCATGGGCTGTATATAGTGCAAAAGAAAGAGCCCATCGAAAGGAAGGGGCAATATGGCCTTTGAGATAGCCCTAGTCTTCCCCTGACAGCCTTTTTCCTGATGGTCGCATCCTTCGGTGTCACAATGACTTCCATGTCCTCTCATTGTCATCGAGGGTCACAGCAGAGCCTCCTTGATATCAGCATAGCGTCATCACATGTCTCCCTGTGGTCTATTCTGTTATATCTTGTGTCTCATTCCGTTACTTTGCACTTTGTTTCCTTGTGCCATTTCAATATCACCTTATGGCATTTCACTGTGACCTTTGCGTCACTTTACTGTCTTTCTTTTGTCCCCACGTTGTTTCCACGTGTCCTCTTAAAGCCTTCTTCTTGGCCTCTTAAGTCAGACAACAGCTGGAATAGTGTCATTTGGAAGGCACTTGTGTCAGCCTCGTGTTTTCTGATGTCATATCTGTGTCACCAGTTTGTCATATCACTCCATGCCCACATTGTGCCCCCTTCTCTCTGGTGTCATTTTAATATCATTTCACATCTCAATACCATTATTTCACTGTCATTTCAGAGTCATCTATATATCCGTTGTGTCGTATTGCATTGCCCCAGTGTCACCAGTATTTATCAATTCAGTGACAGAAACAATCACCCATTTGTCACCGGTGTGTCACTTTGCTCTTGGTCCATGTATCTTTATCGACATTTTTAAAGTACCCGTGCATCAAATACACACAAATTCTTTTTGGACTGAAAAGTCACTATCAACAATGCTTCAAAAGGAGAAAATGGAATATACAAGGTGAACGCTGCTAACCCTAAACTCAAAAGCCTTCGCTTTTATTGAATAGTATTTGTTCAGTCATTTCATAAAAAGAATAACAATTGTGCAAATTTAGATTAAAATCAAATAAAAATTGTGCAAATTAAGATTTAGATCAAATCCATTTTCGAATAGAAAAAACTGAGGACCGAGGATGGTATTATATTTTGGACCAAAACTGAAGTCTAATCTACCCAAACTGACGTCCAAGTAAAGCCCAATTAGGCGAGATATTGTCTTTTGTTTTACAACAAGACATAAATGACGCCAGTAGGCTAAGGCCGGTAGTCACTCTATTTTTGAAGACGACTACAGATTTTCACATAATTGGAAATGACAAAAGTTAAAGCCAACTTCCGGGGTTTTTAAAGACTTTTTTATACGGGTAGATATCGACGAGCACCGAGTCAAATTAAAGGTTCTTTCGATCCGATAGCTACATGTATACAGCAACAAAACTTGTTCATTTTGATTATTATTGAGGTTTTTATAGATCGATTTCGATGAGCGAATACAACCCTGAATTCTTGAAAAGGGTAACGTGAGACAAAATTTTTATCCACGAGAAGTGTATTCATTTGTCACCATTCATGTAAAATTGGTGTAATTAATTAAAGAAGGAAGAGGTTTTGAATTGGGTCGATGGAATAAAGACAATTTGACTTCCAGTAATGCTAACGAAGTCTGGATTTCTCAGATAAGGCGAAGGATCAGGTTTATCTTAATTAATTTACAGGAATATCAAGCAATCTTTGCGAAACTGCGAATTGCTTGATTTGAGTTTGATACAGTTAAATAGCTTTCTCTCTCTCTCTCTCTCTCTCTCTCTCTCTCTCAAATCCAAATGTATCATGATACAAGTAGGACATAGTTAAACTTCTAAGAATGACTTGAACGTGTAAGAATGAAAAGAAAGTCTAAAATGACTAGAATGACTAAAATATATAATAGTCTTAATAGAATAATAGCCAGAAGGGTGGGAAGTATTTTTATGCACGTTAGAATACTTAAGGTAACTTATCCTTCATTTAATGTGCACCATAAATCACACGAGCGCCCTTTTTCACAAAAGAAATTTAGTCCGAGAATTGGTTACAAGTTGTAGATCTAAATTTAAGCCTTCATTGCCCAAGATAGTGTACATGTAGAACGACATTTTGTACACTGAAACATTGTGCCTCTTTTTCAACAAGAAAGACATGGTCATTGTTTAGACCACATAATACTTTACCCCTAAATTAACTACTATGGATTTGACTTGAACTGAAGTCGACCAAAGTTTCGTCTAAACTTTTAGACCCAAAATCGGGCTTAAGTTCTTTTGTTGAACTGGCCCCAGACCACAGCGTGTATTTCGTCAATAGTCGGCTAATCAGCACCATTCACCTTAGTGGCCTGCAGAGTAAAACAGCGTTCGTGACGCTTAATACACCACTTTGGTTTTAAGCATTGGACCCAGCGGGTCGTTTTGAAATGGTAGAATTCTATTAAGAGTCATCTGAGACGCTGTGTTGCGAATGCTTGACAAGCAAGTGATAGAGTAGCGATGCAATATTTATAACTCAAGTGTTGACTTGCTTTTTTTTTCAGTCACAATGCTCGTTTTTCCAGCAGATTGTTTTCTTTAATATGTTCATGTTGACTGTCAAAGGTTACACGTGCATGAAACATTTTAGATAAAAATAGTTAAATTAGAGCAATGAAATGACATAAAGTACTTTATAATTGATGAATTTTCCTCCTTTTTTTAATTATTCAATTTTTGTTCAGTTATCCACTTCTAAATGACGAGACAGCCATGTCTTCCTTTACTTTTCAAAAGGAACCATCAATGTCACGTACCTTCAGCCCACATAAATATAAGATAGTTTTTAGGTCTTATTTGAGTTATTTCAGAAGCTTTGCAGGATACGTAGACATAGAAAATATGACTCTGGAATATGCGCAAACATTGTGAACGGGACTTACACTTCCTATAGCGTAATACAGGTAACATGTTAGGCTCTGCCAAAGCGGACAAATACAGTTAAGGATATTGTCCCCCTTCGCCCAAAACTCCTAAGTGCCTTATATACATTATTTTGGGTAATAAATAAATCTTCAGTTTTCAGCGACTAAATTGATTAACATTTACACATATGTCATCTTACGGGTGCCGTCATAATAGCGATTTGGGGGTAAAACTGAAAAAAGTTGGTGTCTGAAATTTCTCCTTTACCTGAGCACATACGATCACCGTTTCAACGCCGATTTAATAACACTATTTAGTACTCCAAAACCATGCCAGGTGATAAACTGACAATTAAAGCTTTGAGTTGCCTATGCTTATACATTGCAACGAAAAAATATAAAAGTCGATATTTTATATTTTCGAGGTTTTTTCATTGTTTTAAATCAGCACACAGATAGATGTATTATTGAATAATTAGATGCAGGATAAACTCATTTTCGGTATCTTGATGATAATAAAGGCTCACAATATCCTTAAATGCCCGCTCAATGTGAAAGGGTAAATATGTAGGACACAGGTATGGAAAAATACTTGGTTTAGTCTCTCCTTTCTTTTCTTTTTTCCCCTAGAAGGATGTGTTGGTGTAGATCAATATAAAAAACAGGAGCGCCTGTCTCCCGTGACCTACTGTGGCGAAATCGAGGCTAAACTCAAGTATTTTATTTACAAAAAAATATGATTAGCGCCACGAAAACAGCGCTAAAAGAAAAAGTGTCGTGTTACACAAACCATCGTCTGCATTATGGCTGCCAAAACATTGCAGGTTTAGCGTTTATTCTCTCACCAGGCTTCTGAATAAACTTCATTACAACGACTCCCCACCGGCACGTTCTCGCGCCTAATGATTTATTTAAACGTATAGATATCACGTTAACAAAATGACAACTAAAGCAATTAGTCATTCTTCAAGGGATTAGATTCTATCGCGTAATGCTATCTTTGTATTAGGCCTCGACGGTACCGTCGTTTTAGTTGATTACTTCCTTATATTTGCATCTTTTTTCGTGTTAGTTCTTCATTGGGATAGTTGGAGTTTACTGAATTTGTGGTAACCTTGGTGACTAAGACGCTACCTTGCTTGATGAGATTTTTTTTATTTATATGCATTTGTCAACTTATCGTAGCCATAATTATAGAGGTTGTGGCTTATATAACGTTTTTTCCCTTCTTTTTAAATTAATTTTGGGTGGTTTTGCACGACTTAACTGAATACTGCCGACATGACAAACCCAAAGGCGGGTGCAGAATTGTTTACAACTTACTGACCTGAAAAAAATAAGGATGTACTACAGCATCCAATTACAAATATCAAAGGCGCAGATAAGAAAAAACGTATTGCCAATTTTTAGTAAATCTTCCATTACTTAGTCTGTCACAGATCTTGTGACATGACCATTCAAAATTTCTTATCGGAAGCGTTGAGAAACATGGCTATTAATTACATTTGACATAGATTAAGTTTCTCCGCTGTATGGCAGCTAATGAAATTAGGTGATTTCTCACATACTTTTTACTATAAAGATGTAGGTTGATGAATTGGTATTTTGACTGCAACACAGTAGTACTGCATATCACTGCCGAGCAGTTGCTTGAACGCTGGTTGCAGTGACTGCCTACTTTGCTTCGCCTTTATGTGTCACTATAAATAGCGCATTATAGAAACGTAAAATATTTGTCAATTTGTAAAAACTTTGAATTTACAGACAATATATGAATCAGAGACCTCCCAGTTGTAATTAAGTCTCATTCATTACAATAATGAAATTAATCTCGTATCAACTTCAGCTTTGAAAAATGGTGTTGTAAGCTATGTATTTTTATGGCATTCTCACCTTTTTCTTGACAGTGACGGAGGATTCTCATTCAGATTTGTTTTTTCTTTTTTTTATGTGGAAATTGATATCCTGTATGCTTTTTCAGTCTTGGACACTCAGAACTCTGTCTTACTATAAAATATTTCTTTTTTGCAGTGCCAAGGCCGGGTGTGATGACATCGACGACTTTTTGGTATTTCACTACTACTCCGACGAAAGAACGGTCGGTCTTATTGTATCTGTCTCAGAAATATTGGGTAAGACTTCATCTGCTTTAATGGCCGTAATAGGTACCGGTAGATGTTTCTTTCAATATATCATTTTGGTGGGAAGTTTTTGTCAAATGGCGGATCCCGTTATGGCTGCAACACACAATACGATGCGCCGAGATAAAGACGGAGGTTGGGTGGGGGGCGAAAGTACCATAAAATTTTTTTTTTAAAAACTCGAAAAATCCCTCAGTGCACAACTGGTTACCATTTATTTAGGTCACGCCATAGTTAAGCACTCTTATCAGTAATTTCTGATTACCTTTATGATTACATGGTCAGTTGGTCAATGTTATTGGGCCAGTTGTGACAGAAATGATAGTACTAGGAATGAAGTCCGGGGTCCAATATGATTAGTACACGTTAGGGTTAGCTGTATTAGTATTCATGAGGTTAGTATGTAAGACGAATGCCACCTGTACAAAGTAATTGGAAGTGGACTACGGTTGCCAGGGGACTATCAATTCTTATCACGCTGGCATAAATAAAAGCGGCCTTAACTTGTCAATACCGGTTCAATATCTTTAAGTTCATCTTTTTTTTCTAACATTTACTAGATAAAAGTGCATGTATATAATTAGAGAAAAGGGTTGAATAATTTTCTCGCAAACACGCTTTTCAACGCCACATGGCGGTCATGGCTTTGGAAGATCTGCGTCTCTCCCGTCAAGTCCGTCTGCATGTGTAGTAAAAATAACGATGCCGCCTTCACCATCACAGTCTGGGAAACTATGAGATATTTAGCGCAAATTGAATTCATTAGCTCCTACTTAGAACACTACATCGATTTTTACAACTGCAAATAAAAAGTCGATAGTTTTCTCTGCGTGGTGTACAAATATGTTCTTTAAACAACTGTGTTTCTACAAGAAAATGGATTGTTCCCTCTGCTGAAATCGTACTATATAATTACTAAATCTTATAGACTTTACTTGGCAATCCAGTAAATAGCATACAGCATCATCTGCTCGAAGTTTAAAATGAATAATATACTTGTTATTGTAATAAGTATAAAGTAAACTAATTGTGCAACAGACCAAAATGACCATCTATTTATCTAGAGACATATCTGTGAATATCTGTGGAAAATCAATCTGTCGCCCCGGTAGAGGGTAAAAGTAAACCCTGTTATGATATATCTTGGAAATGGTACCTCAGTAGGTTTGGTACCTTGGCCTCCACGCCACAAGCTTTGCGTTACGGAATTTAGATCAAACAATTAGTCTAGTTTTGTACTTACGAAAAAATGTTGGTATAATCATTGTAATATGCGCTAGTACTCGTACCTTTAATAATAATAATAATAATAATAATAATAATAATAATAATAATTATTATTATTATTATTATTATTATTATTATTATTATTATTATTATTATTATTATGTTCCTAATAATATATCCGTAATAATTCTATTACTTGCTTCATTTCAGGCGTCCCTGTACCGGCCGTCCTTGAACTGTTTGGAGAGTATTTCTTCACCTATTGTTTTCAACATGGCTATGACAAAATGTTACGCACACTCGGGGGAAATCTCAAGGATTTCATTCAAAATTTGGACCCCTTGCACTCTCTGCTGGCGTTAACTTACAGGAACATTGAGGCCCCGTCGTTCAGGTAAACGACGTGCTCAGATGCCCCCTAATCTTCGTCAAGTGGGCTCTAAACTCCCATGAGATGGTCATTTTGAAAATACATGAATAAATAAGTAAATAAGTATAAAGCTTACTCTTAAACATAACCAATCATCTTTTTTTTGTGTCTCTTTTTTTTGTGTCTCTTTTCTGCTCATAATAATTCCCTACAATTATACCAGTTCATACTGGTGCTTCAGTTGTAAAAATATATTTATTATTTTAATAATATTAGTTAAAACTAATAAAAGACTTACATAAATGACACAACGTCAAAAGTTTGACAAAATACCCAAAAAATGGAAATTGGAAAACAATATCTTTCAATATTGACTTGAAACTATCCGATAACAATCAGACATCAATGTACAGTATGTTTGCCAAAGGTCATGGGAGGTTTACTTAAACTGAAGTTCCTTTTCATTTAGTTGGTTTTTCTCTTTATCTCGAGAGGGAGACACAGTCACAATAACCCTATGCCCTTCAGCCCTGTCTCTTGCTTTTACCAGAACCTCGTCCAACGAAAGACCCGTCTCATCCAATTCATCAGTGTTCTGAACCAGGCCCCGTATCTCGAAAGCATCGCGTCTTGCGAATAGCTATATCAAATAGAGGCTACAGTGTATTATATGGGACGAGTATGGGCGAGTTATGGAATCGAGACGCTTGCGTACGACCGCAATGTGCGATGCTTTCGAGATACGGGGCCCAGGTTGCTTTTGGCCTTCCTCTTTTCTTTTGGTAAGGTGGTGTCCGTCTAATGGACACCGCCGTCTATCTCTTTCGAGCCCGTCTTTATGATCGTCTCATCTGACACCCTCAGTTCTAGCAGTGGTCGATCTTCTCGTCTCACATCCATGATTTACTTTTACTTTACTCTTCTTTTAATGCCGTTACATTCAATTGATGGTTACCTTAGTTCACCTACGTAAACGTGTATATTTATTTATTCATTTATCTATTTATTTATTTATTCATTTATTTATTATTTTGAATAAGTATTGTTTTTTGGGGGGGATGCCTCCGTGGGGTTGATAGTCATTCTCTTGCCTATTGTTTCACATGTATAAAGGATGTCGACGGGCCGCGAAATTGATGCCCTGTTTGTCTGGATGATGTTTACACTTTGCACTTCCGTGGCGTTTTCATTGCCCTCAAAAGTCTGTTCCGAAACGGTGATTTCTTTTTTGTCCCAAATTAAATTTTCCTCCTGGCTGCATTCATTACACCTTACGTTGGGTCTAATGGTTAAATGGCAATTCAATAACACAAGTGTTCATCATCGGTGATTGGTTTATGACTTGGAGCTGTGAAAATGGAAAGAACAAATTGGCGGTTTTCCTGCATGTTGTCAATAAACTGCCCACTTGATGCCGTCGACATTGGCGCTCTAATCATTCCTTGTAGAGTGCCCAAGGTGTTAACAAGATACATCAATATACAGATGAACCATCAAATTTCCTGGGCGTTATTTTCTCACTGATGAAAAATAAGCCCTAAGGCGGGTTTGTAGGGCAAGGACTGGCTCGACTGCATTTTGATCCTTGTGCGCGAGAGGTCAGCCAAAGAAACGCGGAACCAGATGAGGTTTTCTCTTTCTCTCTCTCTCTCTTTCAGTGTTCATCCAACTGCATGTAATGCAGATTGCTCATTTGACCTTTTTTTCTCATTCTCCAAGATGTGTGTGTGTGTGTGTGTGTGTGTGTGTGTGTGTGTGTGTGTGGGCGCGCGTTATTGTGCTGGTGCGTTCGTTCATATTGTGTACTTGTGTGTGCGTTTGTGTGTGTATGTGCTTGTATTTGTGTGTGCATGTCTGAATGTGCGTATGTGAGGTAAAAACCTTACGCGAAAAGTAAATAAACTAAGCTCAAGCCTAAACCTTTTCAGGTGTGAGAGCAATGAAGACGGCACCCTCACGTTACACTACATCTCCCCTCGCAAGGGGCTCTACCCCATCGTGATAGGTAAGTGTATTGACAAGAAAACGGAGAAAAGAGATTTACAAAAACATTTCCTCCCTTTTTATGTCGATCTGTAATACAATAACGTATATCTTCTTTCGGTCAACTACCAAGATAGGCGTAAATAATCTTGTATGTGTTTTTGCGTGCACATGAACTTTTACGTGACATATCATGCCCGTTAGGCCTTTTATAAAGCAAAATGTCAATCCTGTTGGAAATTTCAACTCCTTTTATTACCAGGATACACCAACCGAGTTCCACGTATCAATAAGTGAAAATCCGAGTAAATGAATTGATGGGAAATAAGTTAAATTTCAAGGAAAACGAATGTTATTGCTATCGAAGTACCTAATGCGCATTGAATGTCTTTAATGAGTTATTCAAATTTGTAAAAATCTATTATTCAGGTGTTGTTAAAGCAGTGGGGAGAGAACTTTTCAACATCGACTGTACTATCGAAGTGATAGATCGGCTGGGAGAGCAAACAAACACCAACAACGTTGGCATGGCGGCTCAGGACCACGTGATCTTCAGGGTTACGGAAAACAAAAACTCCTTAACAACAACAACAACAACAACATCAAAAACAACCGCAGCCAAAGAGACTAGCACCCCTAACGGGGCAACAAACGGGACATCAGTGATCGCGGAATCAAAGGACTTCAGTCCTCACTTTCCTGACTCCCTTCACATTGATCCTCGAAATTTCTGCACCGCTTTTCCCTTTCACATCATATTTGACCGTGAGTTGTGCGTGTTACAGAGCGGCACGGGTATCCAGCGGCTGTGCCCTGAAATTCGGGCAGCGGGGAGCAGTTTGCGGGAGAATTTCGTCCTGGAACATCCCCTTATCAACATGACTTGGGATAACATCGTGATGTTCATTAATGCAGTGTTTGTGTTCTCGGTCAAGCAGACGAGAATGCCGTTAAAAGGTACCTTGCAAACAGAAAATGAGCGCTTGACCTTCCCGTATTAAAAACAATTGAAGAACCCTTATCCAAAACCGTTGACAAAATTACGATGTATTTTGATGTATTATGTATAATGTTTTTTCCGCATTATTTAAACAAAGGCTGGTGACTTTAAACTGTAAAATAGAAATTTAAAATTCATACCTGGGCTTACAAGTGAGGGTAGATAATTCTGTTCTCGACTTTAAACATGTGATTTTGTGTTTGAGAAACGTCTAAGTTGAATGTGTTAGTTGAAATTGTGTCAAGTTTTGTCTTATAAATTGTGTTAGTTGTTCTTTATCAACCTGTCCCTCATTTTTTTTTTCAACTAAATGTGGTCTTTCGGATTCTTTTCTTAGTCAACGCGAAATAGGCCTATTTGCCTTTTTTTTTTTCTTCACAAAAGTTGAGTCCTGAATTGTGACTAATTGAGTCAGAGATTTGTTTGAAGCGTTCCAAGTTCCAAGTTGAGGCTTACATTTTAAAACATCCCTGGTTTCTATTTTCAGGCCAAATCGTTCTCCTCAACTTAGACGCCATGCTGTTCATCTGTTCCCCACGCCTTACTAACCTTAATGAGTTAATGGACAAGCAGTTCTATTTGTCTGACATTCCTATTTATGATGTCACTAGGGAGTTGATTCTCCTCAATCAGCAGAGGGAGGCTGAAATTGAAGTGAGGTAAGGATACTCTGCATTGAGATTCATATCTGAGACGTGTCCCGTTATTTTCGAATCTCCATTTCAATAAGATTTGCAGTGGACTGTCATTGAGCGGGTCAATATGAAAATGTGCTTCACAATGAAGGAGTTGACTTGCGTTGCCCTTGAAACTCGGGCCAAGATAACTGCTATTAGATTTACTTTGTAGATATATTTTGCTTGTGTGTTTGATTTGTCTTAGTGTATCTGCTGTTTAACCAAATTTCTGGCTTTAAATTGACCGCTTTATGCCTGGCCACGTGCTGGAGAGGAAAGATCGAATATATACCTAAATAGTTGAGAAGCCTGCATCAAATGCTTCAAGTCACCAAATAAAGTTGATTAACATATGCAGTAGAAAGCTTAAAACACTTTAATTTTTTTCCAAGATCTGTAATGTTTTACCTTTTACTGTATGCTTTAGTAAAAAATTAGACGAGACCACTGCTGAACTAAAGCGCACATCTCTGGCACTCGAAAGAGAAAAACAGAGGACAGAGTTTCTCCTGCATCAAATGTTGCCAAAGAAAGTAGCAGACCAACTCAAGCAAGGAAAATCAGTTGATGCAGGTATGATATGTTTTTGAATCCGAATGAGTTTGTTTGTTTTGCTCGCGAGTGCGTGCGTGGGCACACGTGCATTCGCGTTTGTTCGTGTGTATGTGCATCAACTAAACAGTAGTCGTTTACGGTAAGACGCGATCATAAAGTTTGATACTGCAGCTGTTCTGCATAGATATAAGAAATCCAATTCTATATCTTTTACGAGTTAATATAACATACTAGTACACTGTATATAGGCTACATTTCCATTGCTTCTTTACTTCCAGAAAAATTCGATGAAGTCACCATCCTATTCAGTGACATAGTTACCTTCACGAACATCGCCGCAGCTTGCCAGCCTATCGATATAGTACATATGTTGAACAATCTGTATGCAAAGTTTGATGCTTCAACGACTAAAAACAACGTTTACAAGGTCAGTAAGAATGTTGGATTAGATTGATTAGATTGGTTGCATCTGTGTATAATTATCTAGATAATGACAGACATCAAGAACTAAAGACTCAGATGAGGTGTATCTTGCACTTTCCTCACTTTTCGACCTTACATGCTTGGTGCCTATCTCGTAGAATATAAGGCCGAATACTCTGACTGATCTGGCATATAAAAGCACGTCACTAATTACTGCAAGATAGTCTTTTGTTTTCGATATCTGTATTCGGAAGAAATATTGCGTCCTAGATCTGTATTAGTGCATTCTTTAAAATCTTAATGTCCACTGCGCACGTGAAGATTTTCATCAATCGGTATATCATTGCATGTTAATACTTATTTATAAATATGTCCTTCATTTTGTTTACTTATATGTGTCACCTATTCCCTGTTACTCAATCGCAGGTGGAGACAATAGGGGACGCTTACATGGTGGTGTCCGGAGTTCCGGAAGTGGTCAAGGACCACGCCGAGTGTGTCTGCGACCAGGCGTTGGACATGGTGACGGCGGCCTCAGAGGTCAAGTCTCCGGCCACTGGCCGAGCGCTGCAGGTTGGTCACTTTTTTCATGGACGCAGGGAACTTCAATGACCACAAATCTATGCATGTGCGTTCGTAATCTGTGGTCAAGTAATGGCGATTTCTGTACTTGCTCCAACTAGGAAAGGTATTTAGTATATCTTTGAATGGAATCCGACCACTTACCTTTGGATATTAGTTCTGAGTCATCAGTTTGAGAAAAAAAGTAACTTGCCTTCTGTTATAACATTTTCTGGTGGGGTGGGGTGCATAAAATTTCCGATGGTAGTATGCGCGTGTACAACCCATAACCTGCCGTAAATATGAAAGCTATTAGGTAAGGCCTTATACCGAGGCAACGTTGGCCTGTTTAGTAGATCAGGAGATAGCTCTGGTCATTAATATTCTTATATCATTTTCTTATTTTTCTATCCCAGATCCGTGTCGGGATGCACAGTGGACCCGTGGTGGCCGGCGTGGTGGGACTGAAGATGCCCCGGTATTGCTTATTTGGAGACACGGTGAATACCGCCTCCAGAATGGAGAGTCATGGCATCCCTGGCAAAATACACCTCAGTCCAGATACATACAGGTGATTTGCAGTCTTCTATTTATTCATGATACCACTTGGGTGCCACGCTAAGCAGTGCAGTTCTTAAAAAGAGCGAAGTCTATGACTGTCATATATAATTTACAACAACAGAAAAAAATTACAGTGTAGGTGTTTATTCTTAAGTGAATGGACTGTTCCATGACTTGATAGAACAGGGGCGGATCCAAGATTATTTGATAAGGGGTCCAGATTTTTAAGAATGACAGGCCTCGGATGTGACGCCGACCCTCGTGCCACTGATGTGGGGAAAATGTTGGTGTTTTGGATGATAACGGTACCGTTTGGTACAGCTTAGAGATATTTTCTAAGCTCTTCTAAATTCTATGGTGGAATATTGGTGAGATTTTTTTTCGGAAACCCAATGGGCCTGACCCCTCAACCCCACCTCCAAATCCACCGCTGTAAAATGCTTGAATTTCTTTCTGGTCATCTGTCTGTGCGTTTCAAATGGAAACAGACAGAAAAAAAAGAGACAAATTGCATTTTTATAATTTTTACTAATTCTCCCACGGATTAATCCTAATACTTCATTTAAATGTATTCAAATATGTTTGATCTTAAACCTCATACTATTTTACTTAAACTTCCTGAATGGCACACCAATTTGACTAAATGTCTCAAACTTTTCGCTTTGCCCCAGGGCACTGATGAGGAAAGGCGCTGCCTGTCGCTACCAGTTCCAGCCCCGAGGCGCCCTTAACGTCAAAGGTAAAGGAGTGATGCACACACACTTCCTGGTCGGGAAAGACGAGAAGAGACCCGACCTAGTTGTTGATGAGTCGGACGCTCAGTACCAGCGTCTGGATCCCGAGGACACTCCATCTATGAAGCAAACATCGGAGCAAAGCGCCGCAGCAAGTGTTAAAGGCGGGAGTGGCGCTAATGGTAACAGTGACGTCACATCGGTTCCTGTGACGCAACAGTCCCAGCTTGACGTCAAGGAGTCAATCAAGACGTCACAATCACACGAGGGCAGCCCAAACGGTTGCTGCAGCAGTAATGATAATTGCACCGTTGTAAGGGAACCAATCAGAGGGCGGAGTGCTACATGCCAACTTATGTGATGTTTATAATCTGATTACATTTTATTTTGCAATTGTGAACACTTGGGTCTTCGGGTTCAGGTTCAATTTTTGTGTAATTGGCAAACAGCCATTGATTTGTTTTATACGCTGATTGTACATTATATTGGATTGAAGACCAGTTAAATGAAACCGTGATCATTTGTATCAATAAATGTCAAGAAAACGATTAGTAATTTTCTTTTTCACTGTAAAACAAATACTGAGAATTAGATAATAAGGACAGGTCTTCAGTTACTGTATGTGCTCATAAATCTCAAGTTGGTTCCAAGGGTCACTTACTTTTTCCAAAGATAAGAAGGGACTAGTTGTTAAATGAATGCTGAAAGATAAACGTTTGAAAACAAGAATTGTATGTGTCGGTAGATTATTTATGTAAACCTGTGAGATAACATATGGCGAAAATTGTTGACAGGTGGGCGGATTTGATTGCCAGAGACTTTTTTTTCTTGCAGCTTGATTTTGTAAATATTGAAATATTGATATTGACGTTTACACAACTGTTTCCAGGACGACATGTTGCATTACCCATTGGAGAGCAAATTTTCATTTGCAAGCAGCCAAATAGTGCCATTTTGAGATTTCTTTAAAGTATACTTTTCATGCATTTTTTAAATTCCAAAACAAACATTTTAACTCTATGTATATCAATGCATAAGATAAGTTGTAAAAGTACTAAAGTGCCGTTTAGTAATCAGAAATGTTTGGTATTTATAATGTAAATGCATTCAAGCTCAACAGAAGATCTAGAAAGACCATTACAAATCGTGTTATGCGAGATTAAACACAATGGATAGGATATCAAGAGTTGCGAAGATGTCGCCGCTAACACAAGTGAATTGCACTCGGTGGGAGCAATAAACATTAATATATGCACGCTAATAAACCGTTTTCTCTTGTTAGTAAACAGAACAACAAAATAAATTCTGACATTTTATTTTAGATAAACGTCATCCATCGACTGATCTACAGTTACATCGGGAATGTAAAAATACTTTAGACCTTCATACATTGGGTTTTTTTCTCTACTTACAATGTACAAATAGAACCAGACAACTACGCGTCTAAGATAGGTGATTATAGTTTTATAAATTTGTCAAAACTGTGAGCAATTCTGCAGAGTGTGCCAGATGGAACAACAGTGAGCGTGACGGTGTTGGACATTGGGTGATTCCGAGCGTTTTTGCTAAATAAGAATACCCCTGAAATGAAGTTGTGGTGTTTGGACGTGTGTCCAAATGTACCTTGGTGTGCTAGTGTTAAGATTTATTTTAACAGTGTTTTATAACAAATGGTGTAGCATTTTCAGCTATTTGAAGGTGAAATAAATATCACATAGAACAATTCAGTGCTCAAGGTGGCAGTAATTCTGCAGAATACATAGGATGGCAACTTGTCTTCTCGCAGGAAGGAAAAATTTACAACTTTAAAATACGAATACAATTAAATTGTACCTTTAACTAGCTTGCAGAGCAAAGATACTTTTCAGTCAAATATCTAAAACATCAAAACAACGTGTGGCACATGTTATCAACGATTCAGTTTCCTTTATCAAACGTCAGTATGCTACTACTACTTCTACTACTTTTTTAAACATTTTAACACTAGAAAACAACTCAAAAGCATCAAAATGAAACTGCAAGGAATGGCAGTTAACAGCGAAGACAAAATAAAAGTACCTTTGCATGTTCCTGGTTAAAATATAGCCTCAGCAAAAAATGAACATCTTGAGTTATGACAGAACCACCTACAAAGCTGTACAAATCTAAAAACTAAATAGTCAGCATGTTAAAATACAAAGTACAAACAGTTCAAATGTACATATAGACAATGTAACAACTGGAGTCTTAAGAAACTGACCCAATTTGAGTCCTAAAGACAAATGCTCAAATAAATCCTCCCCCTCTCTCTCTCTCTCTCTTCAAGTCCAATAAGCTTGGCTTTGTGTTGTAACATTAAAAACATTTTCAAGTACAGTGCTCATGTTTAAAATCTAATATTCATATTCTGTCATGATACAACATTTGGAATGCCAAAAACTTTCTCCTTAAAAAAATCTTTTGGTACCTTATGTACAAAATCTTCATGAAAAATTGTGGACTACAACCTATGTGTTACATGTGACAAAGATTATATTTGGTGTGATGCCAGAAGCCACGAAATATTAAAAAATCTGCTGACATTTAAATGGCAACATGTGCTAATGTCTCCAACTTGCCATATCCAAATACAATTAAACAATAGCCAGACCACTTCACCTGAGATGTTTAGTTTCAACTCAAATAATTTTTGAAAATTCCAAACCAATTCCAAAAATGTTTCTACTTCTTTTCAAATGTGTGGTAAAATATCTGACATATGCTAAGAGAACAGCAATTATAGTAAAATATTTGAAGTACCTTCAATATTTAGAGAGCATGTCTGTTATAGTGCTCCTCAGTTCATTAAGAAATGCCAAAAACTGAAAGCATACATTTAATGATGTGCACTGTTGAATTTTAAATTTAGCAATTTATTAAAATACATATCAATCACAACCATAAAATCAAGTTATAAATGTAGAGAAAAAAACATCACTAAGTGACACTAGCTCTTGTTTAAACACATTATATTAGGAGTTAAAAGATGTGGTTATGTAAATAAAAAAAATAAAACAAATGTAAAACTATTCATATGACACATACAGAAAAACTGTACTGTTTGTAGTTTTTCTACTGAAGCATCCTGTTAGTGATAAACCCCAATGAGGCGAAAGGAACAACTTGGATAAGAAATATCTCCATTGCCTTAAAATGCTCTCCAAAGTTCCTAGCACTACAATTTTTATTTACATGTAGATTTATTAATCAATCTACAAAGGAGTCATGTGAAAGTTAGAGATTTCCTGCATAAAAAATGGTGAGCTGAACTACAAGGTCATCTCTTCTTCTACACAAAAAAATGTCCATATTTACACACATACAACAGGCACCAACTACACAAAAGTGGACAATGCAGACTGCCCGTGGTCATCATGGTCATTTGGCGGAGGTGGTTTTTTGCCATACTGGCCAATAAAAGAGCCATCTTCATTGAACTTGCTGGGGTCCGTGTCTGCATATTCCTCCATGCTGTCTTCATCGCTCTCTTCCGGTTTGATATCGCTGTCGTATTCTGGGTTCCTGGCAGGAGGTGGATATCTATTAGAGGTGAAAACAAAAGAAACACAACTAAAGCTATTTGACAAACAACCATGCAAAATCAATGTATGCAAATATACCATAAATGCATAAAAACCTACAAACAAATACAATTGTGCCATCAGAACATGTAGCCGCTGCAATACATATGAACGCAACTTAAGATGTACTGTCAGGTGGGCTACACAAGGGGAAGTGGGCTACACATTGGTGGCAGCGATGGGATGTGTTTACACTTTGGGACATATGGTACATCGGTGGCAGCAATGGGATTTGTGTACACTGGTTACAGTGGTGGAATGAACAAAAAGAGGCCAACAGACAACCTTATTTATAATTGGCAGTTTTAAACAACCACATACTTATGAGCAACAATATGAGACGAAATTTTGGCAAACATGTACAGAAGCAACAATTATACATCAGCCTGGGATTAAACTTTTGTCATAAAAGTTTCTTGTTTGTAAATTGAACCTTTTTTATTGAATGACACTGAAATTAGTATACCCATGCAGTCCCCTTCCTTTCCCTTATATATCTATATCCCAATACCATGTGGCCCTTGATCCAGTTTATTCAAATGATATTTCAGGACAATTTCTGTATATATGCTTTTTGGTGGGAAGTCATTAAATGAATGGACAAGGATAGCATCTAAAATAAAACATTTAAGCCATATATATATATATATATATATATATATATATATATATATATATTTTTTTTTTTTTTTTTTTTTTTTTTTTTTTTTTTGGGGGGGGGGGAGAGAAGATGGAGGAGAAACCTTTTTTTTTTACTTCTTTTTCATAAATGTCAGATCTGATAAATTTAAAATTGGGTTCAATGAAAAAAAATGTATCTTCTTATGTATTCAAAACCTATTTATAATTGGCAGGAACTTAGGTGTTCTGCTACTTAAAAAGAGAAAATACTTATATAACACTACAAAACAGTTAAAGCAACTTGTAACTTAATTAATATTAACAATATTTATGTTACTGACACAAAATTTAATAATTTTGACAATAAATATACTGAATCTAAGTACACATATCATGCAGAAAAAAAAAAACATTTTTATCAAAAAAAAAAAAAAAAAAAAAATACAAACACTTGAGCTGGCACTTAACTGACTCAGGGAGAATGAAATGCACATCTCTGAAGATACAAATTTTGTATTCCCTTTTTAGGATACCGTTGTTTCGGACCAAAAAATTTTTAAACAACACACAAGATAAACAGATTCTGTAACTATTTCCTTTTCTGCATCTACTTCCTTTTTGACACATCAACAGTCAGATGGCATTTCATGAGCAGCAAACTGTGCCAGTTTAAGTGACGTGACCATGTTATCCAAAATAAACATCTCACCCATGCAACCTCAGTTCATAATTAAACAAGCTAGCAACAAGGTTATATGCAACACTAGGTCTTGGCTTGTCAGACTGGGCAAAAAATTTGAATATTTCTCAACCAAATTCCATAGAAACTAAGAACTGAACTGCCATAATGTCATTTCAGGTAATCTTGACCATTGTGTCTTCAGATTGGTGCAAGGTTATTAAATGCTTTTAATAGTTTTATCACAAAAATTACTTTCTTTGAGTGGTAAATATGCCAGCTATAACAATAAATAATTCAATAAAATAAGACAATAAAAATGGTTGACAGAAATGCCAGTCTGACACACCCAAGAGTCCATAAATAAATGTGAGTTATTTCATCAACACATCTCCCACAAAACATCACCCTTTTTCCGTTAGTTCGTCATTTCTACAATTAATCTCTCTACCTCAAGTCACGCTGAACACACCCGAGTTACACAGTCCAGAATTCAAACCCTCTGCCTTGAGCCAACAAAAGCTTAATGCATGCAACATTTGTTCAATTCAAGGCTATCTAACTCAGGGTGCAGCCTTGTCTAAAGCACTAAGTGCTGTTCACCACACATTCCAATCCCTTTTATTCACATAAAGCCCTCTGCTTGGATTCTTCCATCTGGGAAAACTTTTTCTTTCCTTTTTTTTTAATGAAGCAACGTTTTCTTTAAATTTAAATGAAACAAGATGGTGGAAGTAGCTTTACCACACACTTGAAGCAAAATTAAGCATGTAGCGAAAATTTTATAGCTAGCATTGCTAAAAAAAAATCTACTAAGAATTTGCAAATTGAAGACATTTCAAAATTTGAAAGACTCAAAACAAGAAGAGGAAGAATATTAAAAGAAAGTGAAGCTGTCACAACAGCAAATTCCCAGACGGATATCTCTTTGACTTATTTCTCTGCCCCTAGGTTATCTGTGCTGCTTTTGCTTGTTTATATTTAAATGGCAGAGTCAGGTATTGGATAGATAATTGGTACAATTGGTACAAGGTAAAGGTATAATCATATGGACCCGTTTCGTAAAAGAACTTCAGTCCCAAACCTGGTCTTAATTTTAGGACCAAAATCTTAATTTTATGACCGAAATTCAGTCTACTTCAGTTAAAGTGCAGCAGTCTTCTTAAATAAATCAAGAATTAGTCCGAGACATCAGTCATGTGACATTAGACCGAGTCATGCCTTCTTCATTATAAAACAGGTGCAATGCTTTATCTAATTGTACTACCCACAATTTAATCTCGTTTCAAAGACCAGCATTTGTGTTCAATAATTTTGACCAAGTTCTTTTGTGCAACGGGCCCCAGGTTTCCTTGAGCTCTGCACAACCCATTGTGTTAGCTGTGCCACCAGAATGTTCCTGGGTGAGACAGAGCACAATGAAACCAATTGGGGGTGGAGGCGAGGGGGGGAACCTGGTTCTGCCCTTTTTTACAGTGCCAATATCAGAAGTTGGAGTTAGGGCCAGAAGCAACTAGAAGAGGCTGCGGAGGTGTAATATAAATGCTGCCGTACCGCATTAATGGCTGTGTCACATACGAAGTTGTAGCTCTGTAAATAGGAAGATAATGTAATAAAGGAGGCAATATTACTAAATAACCAAATAATAAACATCAATAAAAATTGGATGGAAAAAGGATAAAAAAAAAAGGTGAAAGAAAAGTAAATTAATGAAGGTCTCCCCTGGTTTGGGAGTAGCAGGTATGTGGTTTGAATTAATATCTGATTACCATAGCAGCCTAAGTTTGATTGCACTGGATTACTAGCCCTATCTACAACTCTGGCGCCAGGAAGAAAATCATTTTCCAAAATTTATATAATTGAAAATCGAAACAAATTGAGGGGCATTTACTGATTCGAAGCAACGCTGGCTCATCAAACAGCTTGTAAAAAAGGATTTCAATCATTGTCGATGAATTTTTTTTTTATTAAATATTAATGCAACATGTAATGATTGAAAACTGTGAACAGTAANTGAGTGGTAAATATGCCAGCTATAACAATAAATAATTCAATAAAATAAGACAATAAAAATGGTTGACAGAAATGCCAGTCTGACACACCCAAGAGTCCATAAATAAATGTGAGTTATTTCATCAAAACATCTCCCACAAAACATCACCCTTATTCCGTTAGTTCGTCATTTCTACAATTAATCTCTCTACCTCAAGTCACGCTGAACACACCCGAGTTACACAGTCCAGAATTCAAACCCTCTGCCTTGAGCCAACAAAAGCTTAATGCATGCAACATTTGTTCAATTCAAGGCTATCTAACTCAGGGTGCAGCCTTGTCTAAAGCACTAAGTGCTGTTCACCACACATTCCAATCCCTTTTATTCACATAAAGCCCTCTGCTTGGATTCTTCCATCTGGGAAAACTTTTTCTTTCCTTTTTTTTTAATGAAGCAACGTTTTCTTTAAATTTAAATGAAACAAGATGGTGGAAGTAGCTTTACCACACACTTGAAGCAAAATTAAGCATGTAGCGAAAATTTTATAGCTAGCATTGCTAAAAAAAAATCTACTAAGAATTTGCAAATTGAAGACATTTCAAAATTTGAAAGACTCAAAACAAGAAGAGGAAGAATATTAAAAGAAAGTGAAGCTGTCACAACAGCAAATTCCCAGACGGATATCTCTTTGACTTATTTCTCTGCCCCTAGGTTATCTGTGCTGCTTTTGCTTGTTTATATTTAAATGGCAGAGTCAGGTATTGGATAGATAATTGGTACAATTGGTACAAGGTAAAGGTATAATCATATGGACCCGTTTCGTAAAAGAACTTCAGTCCCAAACCTGGTCTTAATTTTAGGACCAAAATCTTAATTTTATGACCGAAATTCAGTCTACTTCAGTTAAAGTGCAGCAGTCTTCTTAAATAAATCAAGAATTAGTCCGAGACATCAGTCATGTGACATTAGACCGAGTCATGCCTTCTTCATTATAAAACAGGTGCAATGCTTTATCTAATTGTACTACCCACAATTTAATCTCGTTTCAAAGACCAGCATTTGTGTTCAATAATTTTGACCAAGTTCTTTTGTGCAACGGGCCCCAGGTTTCCTTGAGCTCTGCACAACCCATTGTGTTAGCTGTGCCACCAGAATGTTCCTGGGTGAGACAGAGCACAATGAAACCAATTGGGGGTGGAGGCGAGGGGGGGAACCTGGTTCTGCCCTTTTTTACAGTGCCAATATCAGAAGTTGGAGTTAGGGCCAGAAGCAACTAGAAGAGGCTGCGGAGGTGTAATATAAATGCTGCCGTACCGCATTAATGGCTGTGTCACATACGAAGTTGTAGCTCTGTAAATAGGAAGATAATGTAATAAAGGAGGCAATATTACTAAATAACCAAATAATAAACATCAATAAAAATTGGATGGAAAAAGGATAAAAAAAAAAGGTGAAAGAAAAGTAAATTAATGAAGGTCTCCCCTGGTTTGGGAGTAGCAGGTATGTGGTTTGAATTAATATCTGATTACCATAGCAGCCTAAGTTTGATTGCACTGGATTACTAGCCCTATCTACAACTCTGGCGCCAGGAAGAAAATCATTTTCCAAAATTTATATAATTGAAAATCGAAACAAATTGAGGGGCATTTACTGATTCGAAGCAACGCTGGCTCATCAAACAGCTTGTAAAAAAGGATTTCAATCATTGTCGATGAATTTTTTTTTTATTAAATATTAATGCAACATGTAATGATTGAAAACTGTGAACAGTAATTTTTCTTTCACGCCAAAACAAAAAAATAATTGTAAGTTGTAAAACTGAGGACTTAACCAAAAATAAATTAATTTGGAATAATAATTTGGAATAATTTGGAATAATTTGGAAAATTCATTTCCTAGTCTTGTAAGCCATTCTTTCACTCTCACACATCACACGGTCAGTCAGTGCTTCCTCTATAAGTAAAGAAACCTCTAACCAAAAGGCCTTGAAAGGATTCCACTGATGATGGTAAAAAATATGCAGTAAAGCCTATCAGTATACAGACACATCAGTGGTTGAAATGTGCAAAAATATTTTCTACTCTTTGACTGTACAGTTTTCATGTTACTTACACAGCAAGAATATGGCTTAGGTTGCTAACCTGAAATATTATCTATTCAAATGCCTTCTGGATTTCTAATTTTCTTGTTTTTTTTACCCAGGAAATGATTTTACAAGAAGGCATAAATACCAGTTTATTTTTGCAGACACACAACCACTTCATGTCTTGAGAAAAACACACACTCTATATTAATAAATCACTACTATGATATAATCGTAATCTAAGCCTTTTGATACCTTTGATAGTATGCATTGTCGTACCTAGAAATTACACCCAAATAGCGAAAAAATCATAGGTTGAAATACAAATTACAGGAACATTAAGGCATAAACAGTATGGGAGGTCTACAATACAATATTTCAACATCGTACAAAAATGGAGGATTTATTCTTGCAAATTTTGTATTAAGCAACGAAGAAGCAAACAAATCTACTGTCTACAGAAATGAAACTTTATGCAGGATCAAATATTTAATATACAACAAGCAATTCTTCTGATTTCATTGACTAAATTTTTCCAGGTATTTGAAAAGAAAGTATTGCACATGAGGATTCTTTACATCTACTGACACATTCAACATCTCAATTACATGCCATTTACACTGAAATCTTCACAATACACCACAGAAACATACTGAGAGAACCTCTGAGTTCTTACTACTAGAATATGATCTCTAAAAAAGCAAGAATACACAAAAGGAATTGCAAACCTGGAAGATGTTAGGAAAATAAAACTTGAAAGATAGTGTTATCAATGTATAAAAGAAAGAAAGAAAAATTCTAAAATTACAAGGAAATTAAGCTATATAATGGTAAAGATAAAGGGTAAGTCAAAATATGATAAAGGTTTATCTACTTCATTTTCTAACTTCAAAGTTTTTTTTTATTTCTTCCTTTGTAATAAACTTCAAAAACACAAATTTATTCAAAAGTGTTGTTAACAAACTTTAAAAATTAAGGCAGAAACAGAAGATTACCAATTTCAGAAGATACTAATATCAGAACTTTTTATCTAGCCAGGTTATTCCAGAAATTCTACCATGCAGCATATGCACAAGGGGTTAAGAGTAGTCAAGCAAAAACATCACACAAACAAGGACAACACTGACCTTATATTTTGCAGGGCTCAATATTACTATAATTTCTATCTAACCACTCTATGATATTTACTTTATTTATAAAACTTTCAAACACCTCTCTTGTTATAGTTATATCCTACTTTTTCTTGATTTTTTTCATTTTTGATTGTAAAAAATGCAATTTTTGAAGTCAAATGCCTTTTCAAAACTAGTGAATTCTAATATTTCAGTATCACTAACAAAATGTTTTGAGGATATTTCTAAATTCGTTTTGTTTTGCTTTCAAGCATAATTACACACAAAGAATTGTACTTCTTGATTTCAGAGAGCAAAGTGAAATGTGACTAATATCAAACTAATATCAAGCCCTGCAAATACGGTGTTTACTTTTCTTCGTGCTATTTAAGACAAGAAACTACCCATCTTGCATGCAATACAGTGATGTGAATTGATTAAATCATATCATGAACTGACGTAGCTACAGAGAGAGACCCCACCACACCCCACCCCCTGGGTTTGCAGCCGTCCCCCCAGGAACACAATGATAAATGTGACACAGGGAGACAGGGTCTGTCAAACCGTCATTGTCAACACTAAGCAAGCCCCACATATGACACAACATGACACAAAACACATCTGTAACTTTCTGGCAGTGCCACAGATTACACACCACATGTTTGCTGCTTACTGGTCAAAAGTCAACCAATCAAACCTACCCTCGTTGATATTCCCCAAAGCCTCCTTCGTGTTGTTCAAATTCTGGACCTCTCAACTGTTCTTTCTCATGGACTGGAAAAAAATGTAAAAAAAATGCATTATGCTTAACAACCAAAACTAAGTAATAAATATATTAATATATAAATACAATAAATTTGCTCCTGTAAGTATTTCCTACTATATACTGTAATCTTAAGCCGACATATTTTAGAACATCAGTCTGTGTGCTTGGTCGTTTCAGATGGTCAGTTTATATCTTTTTATTCTGTATTGTACACAAAACTCACAAAAATTAACAGTGCAGTTTTACGCATCTCTTCATCATCATCATTATTATCACGATCATCATTTTAATCCATTATTGTTACTATTATCATCATCCCACTAGCACTATACCTGGATAATTCTCCCCTCTCTTCCTCCTGAGCACACAGACTACTATCAAGATAAGGATGAGGGCCAAGATGGCAATAATCATTCCATAGAACCAGCCTGCTGTGCCTATATATCCAATAGACATCGCTGAAAAGGAAAGAGCGTACAATTAGCTATTTTGTTTCTTGCTGAAGCTCAATACATCTCCATTTTGGGCAAATGTTAAGCAGTTTATTTCACTCCTACGTACATATCTCAAATTATTCATGGCCACAAACTTCTTAAAATGCTGGGCTTTGTGATCGTAAACAGGAGAAACAAAATCATATAAAAACATTGAAGGAATTTCATTTCATGAATTAAAAAATGTCAAGAAACAGACACAAATGGAGATCAACTCGAAACTTCTTTCAAGGAAATCTTCATAGGTCCAACCATGAGAAGGTCACAGATTTGGAGGTGATATTGAAACTCTTTATGTATATCTCAAGACTTCCTTTCCTTCTGACCTACCTGAACCTAAGGTGTCTATCCCCTTTACATCGCTGGCTGTGCTGTACTGTTTGCTGTTCATGGCCACCAGACGGACCTCGTACGTGGTCCCAGGATCCAGCTTAGAAATATTCCTCCACATTCTGTCCGTCTCCGTGAAAGTGTTCATCCACATATTGGTGCCTGAGAGAGAAATATCAAAGTGTGTAAACATATTGAAAATATAGCAATATTTATAAAATATAAAATTTAAAAAAAAAATGCTTGATTTCTTTAATGATAGGGTTCCTCTCTCACTGCTATTTATTTTTTAATCAAGACAGTGATACCTTTACAACATTTCTGAAGTTGCAATACAGGAATGAGAGCAATAAGGATTCTTGAATTAAATTATGGTGACAAAAATATACTAATGAAAATGATCTATTATAAAGTAATTAAAAAGGTCACCTTACTTAATTTCATTTACTCCTAGTGTTTTATTTTTCAGAGTTACACCTACACATGATTTTAATATCATTTGCCAAGCAGTTAAACAAGAATGTGAAAAAGAAAATATGCTACGATGGGTACCAAAACAGAGCTTTCGACCACAGCCTAAAAAAATCACTTTCATTCCTCTGTGGTAGTGCTAACACTCACCAATTTAGCCAAATGCTAAAGCTGGCTTAAATTGGCTAAACAAAAAGGGCTTGATTTGACCAATTTTAGTCAAATTAACACCATTTGGATAACAAATTGACAAAAAAGTGGTGTTTTGGCTAAGCGAAAAAAAAACTGCTAGCACCATCCCAGTTCCTGTATGTACCTTCACCATTTCTTAAGTAGTAAAACAGGAGCAAAAAGAAACCAATTCTCGAGCCTTTACAATTAATATGGTGATATTTCAATCTCATGGCACCACTCACCTTTCTTCCTGTACTGGACATAGAAAGCACCCCCAGGGTTCACACTGGCCGGAATGAAGGTCACGTTGATTGGACAGTCCACCACTGATGAGCATGGTCCAGCGACAGCCCTGAAGTCAGGTTTACCTGGGCCTAGAGAGTAGAATTTGTATAAAGAAAGGCTGTGCATACATACACTAGGTACTGGATCGTAGACAAAAATGCACTAACAATGGAATAATTTACAAGAAAAATATGATAAGTATCATATTTGGAAAAACAGAAAAGGGTATAGAGGTCTTGAAAAAGTGAACCTTTCAGAACAAATCTTAATTTCATCTGAACAAATGACCAGAGTTCTATTTAACTTGGCAAGAAAAACAAACTATTGCAAAATATATCTGTTTTGTTTTGAACAATATGAAATATTAAATTACCAAAGTCCATAATTAGAAAGGGCAAAAGAGTTTAAAAAAAAAAAATAATAAAAAAAAATGAAAAAAACTTACTTGAAGGCTCCAGAGTAGCTGCATCTAAGAAGTCTTGTTCACCACGCCCCACATTCGTGCGCGCCCACACATACACCCTGTACCGTGTTGAGGACTTCATTCCTGTGATTGTAGCTGTAAAGCGGTCTCTGGTATCATCTGGTCCAATTGTCATTGCAGGTTCTTTGTACTGGATGGCTCCCAGGGACAGCCCAGTGACTGGAAGAAAATTAATAGTAAATGTCATAAGGTTCAGAATGCAAACAGTGCTTAATATTTCTAAATGAAATTTTCTAAAATATACCTTGAAGTTCTTAGTAACCAAACTCCCTACCCTATTCCTGTACCCCCACCCACTGGATATATACCAAAACTTCCTCTGATTGTAATTTCTCAAATGGCCGATACTGAAAGTTCCTCTGTTCCAGTCCTTTTATGGGGATATTAAAACTTCCCCCTGCACCTACCTGTCCTGTAGCCAATGTCATAGCCTGTGATCTGGCCATTGGGTTCAGCAGGCTTGTTCCACTGAAGCTTAATGTGGTTTGGACCAACAAGAACAAACTGGAAGTTCTGCACAGGACCTGGCACTGGAAACAAAAACAAAGGGAAAAAACCCATTAAGATATAACCCCATAATAATCATTTTAAATATCTGAACACCATTCAGAACCACTAGACTCAACTAACATTAAAAAGGGCTAAAGTATATATTATATACAATTTTTGGAAAAAAAATCACATTAAAGATAAGATTTTTTAGACATAAATTCTGCTACTGTCTGTTAGCTAATTCTAAACTTTTAAATAAAATCGAAATGCTTGTTTAGTAGTTTGACTATGTCTTAAACATGAAAAAACATTTAATCCATTTTGAAGTACTCGCAAATAAGCATAAATAACATTTTTAATCACCTCCCTCTGGCGTCTGTATAATGATCTTATTGCTGGGTGGCCCTGCATACTTCTTATTAATCACACGAACTTGGGCGACGATACGCTGTGAGGAAGGCAAGTTACTTATCGTGGCCTCCATCTTGGGAGGCGTCTGCCGTTTGGTGCGTATCTTGTCGACCCAGTTCCTCCCCTCCAGAGCGAGATCTCGCGTGTAGATGTACTCGGTTCTCATTCCCTGCTCTCCCTCCTCCTCCAGCCAGAACTGAATCTAGAGACACACACAAGAAATCATAAAGTCAATCATTTCTATTGAGATTTAAAATGTTTTTTTTTCCCTTCTTATGAGGCACGACATTTCAAACCTTCATTTAAAACCTTTATCAAGAACAGAATCTTTATTTTCACTGTCTTAACTCAAAAATTGTATCAGTGCTATATCCAATGCATCCCATCCCCCTGAAATGTTCTCATTTACTGACAGCCAGAAGCTCATCACTTCCTAGTTTTGTTCAGTTCAATATCACACAATAAATTATTAAATAATTTTAAAACTCCATCCTTTACAGTTTTTAAAAGTAAATGCTTCCATATACAAAACATCCAGCCAAAGACAACAATACCAAGCAAGATCACACATACCTGGTAGCCTCTCATGAAGCCTCTAATCTGGTCACTCTCAGGGTCCACAGCGTCCCATATAAAACTGGCCTTGTTGGACGTGACAGCAACATTGGGGTTCAACATGAAGTTGGTTGGGGCCACCAGTGGTGCTGGAAGACGAGGGAGTGACATTATGAGCATTATATAAAAAGTGATGTGGGCGAGTGTGCCAATTGTACCACATTATATAAGGTGTGTGTGTGTGTATGTATGTATGTGTGTGTGTGCGTGTGTGCATGCGTGTGTGCATGTGTGTAAGAGAGCAAATGTCAAATAGTAAAGAGAAATTCAAAATAAAGAAAGAAAAATCTGACTGACACCTCAAACATAATTTGAAAATAATTATGAATATTATATCCTACATGTATCATGATGCAAGAAAATGAAATCGAGAGCCCACAAAAATGCTTCTGCCATCCACTTACTGCTCTCTCCAGAAAACCCAACAATAGCCGGCTCATCAGGAGCAGCAGACATGGAATTTATCGCCTGCACTTTGATGGCGTATGGAGTATAGAAGGGCGTGTTCTCAATCCTGAGCTCTCTTTGGGTCCAGTCATCGATCCTCACACTCTTTATAATGTCATTGGGAATGTCCAGTCTGTAGTATGTGATCAGGTAGTGGAATCCCTGTCCATTGTGTTCCACTGGGGCCATGGGCTGAAAACAGAGCGGGAATTATTATTAAAGACTATATTGACTATATTTCTATAATAAATAACATTTCAATTCTTTCATTTGTAGTGAGCATGATATAAATCCTTCAGATGGACACAGCTATTCTGTAGCATTAAATAACAACAGCTGAAAGCTATACTAGACATTAAACTGATATATAATTAGTTGATGTGATCAATTATATATTCTAGTTGTAATACATTGTACAAGGGACCTGGTTTTACAAACTGCCTTTGGTTCTTGGGCTAAGCTTAGCTAAAACTGGTATCTGACACACTTTTATGTGGGTTTCTGTGGGAAATTTATAACTCGAATCAAGTCAATCACAATTTGCTTAAGGGATCTGGTTTAAAAAAATATAACTTAAACGTCTTTTCAAATTCTATGTGAAATGCAAATAAGCCTGCTACTTTTTCAGCCCAAAAACAGTCTTCCATTAAAACTTGTGAACATCAGTCTTCATTGTATTCCTCACCGTCCATCTGATGTGCAACTGATCCCACTCTGTGTTCCACGTCTCCACGTTCTCGGGGTTATGAGAGGGCGCCGCGGGCGGGGTCGTGCACACCTGCTTCGAATGCGTACTGGGCAGGCTCCAGCCAATACGATTCTGGGCGAGAACACGGAAGGTGTAGTTGACATAGGGCGAGAGAGGAAGGTACTGCTGACTGTTCGCAGCGCTGACGGTCCTGATCTCCACCCAGGTGGCTGGCGTGAAGGTGGTATTGTACTCAATACGGTACTTGAGAATCTGGGCGTAATTGTCAGAGCCAGCGCTCCAGGACACTCGAGCTTGCTGCGTGCCACATTCCATGATTGTTACGACTTTTGGAGGTTCGGGACGACCTAGAACACACAAAAAATGAATGGTAATATGCATTGGAAAATGTTATAAAAGACTTAGGCTAAGGTTGAAGTAACAGAACAACAGCTTGTGATTAAAGAGTTTTAACATACTGCTGCTTCAAGCCCCTGGGGTCTCAAACAACAACAGCTGGGGTGTACTGAGCCACTTTACAAACTTGATCTGGCCAGCTGCAGAAAGCATTAGGATTAAGTCAACATGTCTGATTTTCCTGGTCATTTTCAATCAAACACTAATGACAAGTAGGCACAGGTGGAAAAATTGAAAATAAGAGTAGCTGGCCTGCATTAGCGAAGAAACAACCACCTACCTTGTACCACCAAGGTAGCAGTATGATTGGACTGATCATTCTCCAAGCCATTCTTCGCCACACAAGTGTACTTCCCAGAGTCCAGCAGATTCACATCACTGATGATCAAGGAATTGTCCATGTAGTTCTCGTACAACCTCTGCGCCTGGTTCAGGTTGATTCTCTCGCTGTCTTTGAGCCAGTACATCTCCAGCTTGCTCATCTTCTCAGGATCTGTCCTGGCAGTGCAGACAAACTTCACGTTGCTGCCGAGTTCCACCATTTGGTCCTGGGGCACCGTAAGGAGGGTGGTGGGAGCTGGAAGTGAAAAAATATTTAATTTTTCTAATAATAACTTTTAATATGCTAAAAGCCTTAAACTTATCATAGATGTTCTCTGGACAGGGTATATCAAAAGTCTATGACAACGGAGCCCAAATGACTGCTGACTGCTTTGTTATAGACTGATAATTCATCAAAATTTTAATTTAATTAAAAAAGTTTAATGATGTCACATGTAATGAGACAAATCAATCAGGAGTGAGCTTGTGCAAGAGGCTGGCCACCTACCTCTGACAACCAGACGCCCATCTCTGAAGCCACTGCCAAATTTGTTGGAGGCGTGACAGGCGTACTCTCCCCCATCAGATGACTGCACATTCTGGAAACCAAAAGAACGGAATTTTCACACATTAAAATGGAAAAAAAAAAAGACCAATCAAAACTTGATGGGCACTTAAGGCAACCAGTGAAAGAGTGCATCCAAAAAGGTAAGTAATGTAACATAAAATATTCTATTTGTCAAAATAACTCTGCATACTGCAATACAATCTCCTTACCAAGAGTTACTTCTCTTATTCCCCCTCAGTTTTACCTTAATTTCCAAGTCTCCACTTGGATGTATAGTATACTTGGCACCGCCGCTGACATCTACTCCATTCCGCGTCCATGATATCCTAGGTTTGGGGGCACCAAACACCTGACACGGGATGATGGTGGACTTGTCTGCTGGGACCTCCTGGATCAGAGGTGGCGGACGCAGGAAGGATGGCTCCTCAGCTGAAACAGATATACATACATACATACATACATACAGGGAGAGAGAGAGAGGGAGGGAGGGGGGAGGGCAATTACCAATCAGAAGAGAAATTCCAAATAAATAAAGAAAACTTAATTATTCCCACATATTTAATGACAGTCACTACCTTTTAGTTTCAGAAGTAAACAGGATAACTTCCATGATTTAGTTGTGTTATTTAGCTAAAAAAAGAGGCTCATTTTTCAGCCATCTATCACTTTTTCATCAAAATTTAAGATTAAATTTCTTTTAACAGTTCTTCATGGGACTGCTTACCTAAGACATTGAGGTAGGCATCCCCATAGACATAGCCATCTTGGAACTTGTTTGTAGCATTACACTGTACAACAAGAGTGTCAGACTTAGTCAAGTTCTTGAAGATGATTTTATCTTGTCCAACCTGCAGCCTTGGGTTATTTACATCTGAAAGTAAAAGAGAGATTTTATCCAAAAGATATGATCACCAAGAAGACAATGTCAAACTCCTAAACAAAAGGAAGTTCTTGATGCTATAGACATTATAATTATGATAAATATAATAAAATTAATACATTATATCTACACTTCAATCATGGGCCTTTAACAAAAACATGATTCACATTAAATACTTGATCATATTATAAACACATTTCATATTGCATACTGTTAATGAAGCTAATCTTTATGAATCAACATAATCATAATACTATATACGTCTATAACAACGACATTCCTTTATTTAGAAACTCCTGTATAGGAGTCCCCTTTGCAAGTACCACTCTGTAAGCAGAAGAGTAACTTCTCTCCCTATTATATAAATATATTAAGATAATATTATGAAGCCTATATTTTTTTATATTTTTATATTTTATTTCTATATTTTTTTTTCAGATTGCATATCCCACTTACTCTCAATTGGTACTCCATTAATAAACATGGAAACTCTTGGGGCAGGTATTCCCTCAGCACGGCAAAAAAATTCAGCGTCTTCCTCCTCTGCCGCATTCACATCCATTGGCTCGTTAATCCAGTAAGGAGTGGCTGTAGAGGAACAATTGAACAAATTAGATGCAATATATTCATCTATCTACATATTCCTAAATATAATTTTTATGAACGGGAGAGAAAGTCGAACTCGGTAAAAGCAAGACATTCTTTATGTATTTATTAAATATCATATAAATTTTATGAAATTATTAAATAAATTCTATTATATAATAGTTGTCCTATACTAATAAACTCACACTCCACTGTAACCCTAAAAATACTGTTAACCGGCACATCAGATTCACTGTTTGTGGCTTCACAAGAATACGTCCCTTCGTCCTCAAATGTTGCTGGCTGAATCCATATCTCTTGACCATCGCTGACCAGTCTGTGTCTAGGGGACAGTGGACGTCCATCTGTCCGCCTCCAGATAATCCTGGGTGTGGGACTGCAGAATATGATGAGCAAATTTTAGGGATCGGTAATAAATATTGAAGGGGAACTAGGCGAGTTCCTTATTACAAGAAGTTGTAATTCAAATTTTAAAATATATAAAGTCAAAATGATAATAATAATAACACTAAGAAATATTAACAGAGAAATACTGGAAATGCAGAGAAAATGACATAAGATTGGTTAAGTTCTTCAATACAAACAAATAAAATTAATTTTAAAATGTTAAGTCAAAAAATCAACACACAGATTATCTTTCCGACATCTGTCTAGTATGTAGGAGGGAGTACCAAATCACTTACTATCCGCCAAATATGCACTTGATTGCAATTCTCCCTCCACGGAGTGCCGAGACTTCGTATGGCGTCGCGTACAGGGAATGCGGCCTGGTACGCACTATGGACTGCATGGCTGAGAGAAAAATGAACACGTGCGAGTGTAAACTGGTGGTTTTATATTTTAAAACAGAAAGTTCAGCTTTCAGAGGCCTTTTTCACAAAAAGAACTCCAGACCAAAACAACATTGGCCAACTTTTTAGACCAAAATTTTCATCTACATCAATTCAGGATAAACGTGCGGTGGCTCAAGATGATGGAGCAACTACTGGTCTCAAACATAAGCCTGGATATTTCTTGTTATAAAACATGCACCCTACCTCATTAAATTGAACTGCTACTGTCTAAGTAGGGTTAAAGTAGACTAAAATTTGGGTCTTTAAGCTTAGACCCAACTTTTTGACTAAAGTTCATTTGTGAAACACCCTCCAGAATCTTACTGTAATGGTAGCATGACAGACATATTTTAAATATAAACAGGCCTGTAAAGTCACAGCCACAATTCTATGTAGCCGACTAAGTTACATCCCTGCCAAAGAAGGACCACCTTTTTTGGTATCAAAATTGCAGATTGATTCTTTGCAGACTTAATTTTCAAAATAAGTAATTGATTTATTTATCTTTACATATATCTATTTATTGATTATTGATTTATTTATCTATTTATTTATATTCACTTACATCCCTGTGGATAGATCACAGCATCTTCCCCCTCTACAGTGGCACTGAGACGACTGTTGTATGCCACACAGCGGTAAATGTTTCCATTCTGTTGATCCTCTGGCAGAATATTGGCAAAGTAAAGGTTACCTGCAAGATAAAACAGTCAGAATATAGGTTATGTATAAGACATGGCAATCAGAATTATAAAACTAAAATTAGTCTTAGTGTTTACACATCAATAATGCATGTGTTTACATAAATAATAATCAGTAGTAACTTCAATATTTTAAAAGATCTTAAAGGATAATGGAAATTGAAAGAATGTTAAGACATTTTAATTCATTTCCTCACCATCATAATCTATGGAAACTCTTCCGTCTAGTTTTAGGGGTATTTTATTGACGTTCCAGTAGATCTCAGCATCTGGGTTACTGGTAGGTGGGCTACATGTCAATTTCAAGGAGGCACCAACTATGGGACGATGTACAGTTGGCACGGTAACGGGCGGAAACTGCTCCAAAACTGACAATTGAAACAACAAATATTAATGAAGGCACCAAATTATCTAAAATTCAGAATAAAAAAATTCCATCAGAAATATCTATACATAATTTATATGCACTTTCTAAAATAATGGATTAACACAGAAACTTCCTTTGATTTTTCCCCCCCTATAATTTATATTCTTTATCATTCATTCATTCATTCACCAACCACAGGGAAAAAAAGGCATCTGCATCAAGGGAGACATACACATGTGTACTTTACAAGCATTGGATTTTAACATAAACTGATAATGAACTAAAGCTCTCATCAATTATGCAGACATGGTAGTAAATTTGTGCACTAGAGAATATTTCCCTACTTCCCAGTGGCCCATGTCTCATAAAGAGATCATTTTCTCAACTCTTTTCACAAGGCCACTGGTGTGATAGAAGCATTCGCTGTTTTCAAGGATGAGACTGCCATTTAGTGCATAAGTCTGAAAATAGGGCGTGGGGTCCAGGGGTCCTTCTGCAGCGATCTCTAAATTGATATTTTTTGGTCCCAAAAAGTCTGAAATCTGACTTTTGTCGAAAAAATCTCATTACTACACATTAAATTACAGCAACTTTCCATTGGCAAAAAAAAAAAGCACTGTTCTTATTTTTTTATGTATCATTTAGAAACACCAAAAACATGATTGAAAAAGCTTTTTAAAAAGTCTCATGGAACATGACAATTCAATTCTACAAAACAGCAAGCATAAATACTTCAAGCTGGATTATCCTTTTTCCACATTTTCAGTCCATTTCCCTCTCTGCTCTTTAAAAGTTTTATAATCCCTGCATTAAATAAATGTTATTCATCTAATGAGCCAATTCAGCTAATCCAGCAATAAGTCATGTTTCTTGCCTGTTAAGCAGCACGTTTCTCCTAATCCAAACTATTGTCATAAAATCCCAAGTAACACCTGGTTACATAAGTAAAATCAGAAACCACTCTCATTACGCTGTGTCATTGTAAACAGATTTACGCTAGAACTCATCATTCAGTCTCTCACAAAGGTCTATCCTTTGGAAAAACCCTTAATTAGGTGGTCCGACATCTTCGGACTCTGGTCGAGCTGTTAAGAGAGGCACAGATTTGAGGCAATTTCTTTCGATCCAACTGTTTGCAATTGTAAAAAGATTAGACATTAAATCTTCCCTGTCAGTTGGTGGCACTCATCATTTGGAACAGCAGTAAAATGGTTTTATGGTAATTTTCAAACACCCAATTTTTCTAAATTCACTTTTTCAAATTTTATCATTTTTTGACAATGATGAAATTCACTTTCTGACACAAAGTCACACAACTTTTTCAAGACTTTTAAATAAACATTTTAAGTATTATAGTCAAACAAAATACTCTCCTTTGCTTGGGAGGGGGGATGTGCAGTGCATGTTTAAATTTATAAAGCATTTACAGTACTCCGTCTTTCTCATACAACAATGAAAATAAAGGAATTTCTATTTCTCTCCCTTTCCCATTGTAGAGGTATTAAATTTAAATGAGTCATTGCACCTCACCTGTGGGGCCTTAACTCCAGGGGAGCCTAATTAGCGGTAGAAACTTAGCATTCTCCCATGAGTAAATACATCCTCTGATCAATATCCCTCCTTCCGATCAATATCCCTCTACTTTTTACTATTTTAATTTTTAATTTTGAAATTAATGAGTGAATGTTGAAACACTTTTAATACTTCTCTCTGAACAAAATCTCTGACTCTCTCTCATCAATTTTTTACAAGTATATAACAAAAGCTAACATTTCTCCATAACCACCAGCCTTTCCAAACTACATCTCAATTTTTTTTTTCTTTCAGTGGAAAAATTCTGACCCAAAGCCCAGTACTTCACGACAACCAACCTTACCTAACCTCTTTAACCTCCATTACCTCATTCTAAACAATTCTGATCAAAAAACAACCATTACATAGACACTTACCTCCTTTCCATAACCTCGTTTTTACTGAGAGCGACGTCCCAAAGGCGTTGGTGGCATTGCACTGGTAGTAACCCTGGTCCTTGTCCTCGGGGTCAGTGATCACCAGCGTGCCTATGTTGGGTTGGAGGGTGTAACGCGGCAGATTTCCTATCTCCAAATACTCCTTGTCTTTGTACCATGAATATCTGAAAATAAATAAATAAGTTCTGAATGGATAAAAATAATGAACATTTTAAATCTGTAGTTAGACTGAACTGCAGAATACAGTAGACTTTGCATATTATTATAACACTCAAAGATACGAAAACTACATGCATAGTTACACCAAAAGTTGAGGTAGGTAATATTCATAAATTTCAGCTAATCATCCAAGTATTGCAAAATATTACACTGCACTCGGCATAATTAGATCAAGTTACAACACAAAGAATAGTGTTGCTAATAATGTTAATAAATTTCAGCTTATGCCAAAGAGATGTTAGAGATTTAATATTATTACAGCCACCATACTTACGAAGGTTGTGGACTTCCTGAGGCTACACAGGGCAACTCCACACTTTCTTTTTGTCTGTATATGAACACCTTGGGGGCCTGTACATTGATACTAGGGGGCTGTGTGAAGTCTTCAGCTAAAATAAAAAGCAGAGTTTACTGAATATTGCTACAAAAACTTATTGTCATATCACAACACAATCAGGTTGTCATAACCAACACAATTAGTTTGTCACAACCAACACAAGTTGTCACCACTAACACAATCAGCTCTTCATTATCAAGAGGTGCTCACAACGAAAGGCATCAAACTTTCACAACAAAAACAATCAATATAATCAGCACATAATGGCAAACATAACCAGCAAGCCTATCCCTTGGTGTTCAGCATAATCTTAATTTTATTTTCTAACCAGAATTTCAATACATAAACAACACAACGCACAAGCAAAATAACCAACATTTAACAAAAATATTTCTAACAAACTGGGTTTTTTTTTTTTTTTTGTATTGTGGGAAAGTGAAACTGCGTTTCTCTTATTTTGTGCATCAAATCAAGACTTATGCAACAAACCAACAAACACTTATAAGATTAAAAACATGCATAACTTCATACACCTTGCAACCAATCACACACAAAAAAATCTAAAAAAAAAAAAAAAAGACTTAAGCCAAGAGATTAGAAAAAAGTATGAATATAATCAAATCAATGGGAGAAGGGGAGAAAAAGAAAAGACTTTCTTTTCAAACATCAGAAACTAAAAATTATACAGCTACTCAATTTTCCCTAAACTTATTCAAGAAGTCAAAGAACAGAAAAAGAACAAGAAACCCAACCTTTCTAACACACTTGAAGCAACAGAATGTCATTTTGTAACCTGTTAAACTAAAGAAATGAAAGAAAACCATAAGTTGTCCACAATGATAAGCAAATGGCTGAAACAACTAATGAAGTGGAAACATCACAATGCAGCGAAAGAGACCTTTGCCACCAGACCCGTATCTAAATATCCCTACGGAAAAATGAAATCAGGATTTAAAAAATGATTATTTTAAAATGACAGAACAAAATAAGACTTAAAATCCACACCCCTAGAGAAAAACTCATGCATACTGAGAATGAACACATAATCACCCAGGTGTGGCTAAAATTCCACACAAAAGTTAATAGATTGCTCAGAATATGAGAGCACAAGTGACAGACATCTGTCAGGTGATATCTGAAGAGGGAATAAAAAATAATGAGTGTCTTAGACGACAGATTGACAGCTGCCAATCAGGAGATATCACACAGCGGTGTACTTACAGCCTCCCTGCCAGTCTGTGAGGCCAGTCAAGCCTGCAGTGGGGGAGGGAAAAAAATTAATACACACAACATACACATTGGGTTGTCTCTAAAACTAGGTCATACATGTAAAGGTCAGCCATGCTTCAACCATATAGGTCAACCAGAGGTCACCTCCATAAGGTCATCTAGAGGTCACTCTGGGGTCATATCAATACAGGTCATCCATATCTAGCTCAATCAAATTTCATTTTCATAAAGGTCAAACAGATTCAGGTCATCTAAAGTTCATCTCTATATAGATCAAACATATATATAAGTCACCAAGTGCTCATTCATAAATGGGTCAAAGACAAACAGGTCAACAATCAGAAGGTCACTAAATGATACAAAAAAAGAAAAAAAAAAAAAAAACCTGACAAAGACAATCACTCAAAGCAATGTATGATCAATATATAACCTAAAAACATTTTTATCTGGTATCTTACCCACTTTTATCCCACCATCTTAAATAATGCTTCAAAAATAAACTATACTAATAAAAATACAGAGTTCATATTTACAATAAAAATAGAAGTTCCTTTCCTAATAGTAATCTATATTATGAATTTACTGCAGGAACCCCCCTGGATTTGAGTTATCAGCCAACACACTTCCCCTCCTGAATGGAGAGCTCTTACGTGATATTTGATCTTGCTGTCAAAAGTGAAGTGGCTGAATACAGTATTTGCTCCCTTTTAGTGGTAATGTTTGGTCACAATTACCTCCATGAAAGAAGAAATCTTTAGTAATGTTTTCCCAGCATGAGAACAAAACATGAGAACAAAAGTTTGGTAAATTAATTTCTGAGATGAAAATGATTACCCATCGACTGGTTAATTGATAAAATGAATCACTAAAGACTGGTCTTTGGATCTTTGTTACATCAGAACCAATGGTTAATTGCTGATAAGTATTCATCTCCCTTAAACAGAAAATGGAAACAGTATTCAGAACTAATTGAAGAACTAAAGCCTTGTTTTCTTTATAGCCACATACCAATATCATTAACAACACAAATGAAAAAAAAAAAACCCAGGGTGAAAATCCAAATCACAAATATTTTAATAAATTTACAAATGAAATTTAAAAAGAAATTTGAATCCAAAACTTAAAATGTAAAATGACAATCCTATACCACAGCCCTCATAATAACCCCGTTCACTTCACCAAGTCAAAAATATGTCTTTTTTGAAACTAAGTCAAGAAACCCAGGGTGCCTCCCTTATTCCCACACCACAGTGCCATTAGCTGTGTTGACTATATATCTGTAGACATATTTGCCTTATTGATTGCAGCCCCGGACTTCTCCACTGCCAACATAACCCTGATCTATGCAGCATGTAATGTATTGATCCCCTCGACGACCTCAACTCCAATCCCTCCGAGTTGCTACCCTTTTCGGACAGTTTCTATAATACTTATTGTATTCTAGCACGATCCAAATGAATATCGTGCCAGGACTTGGTCGAGAAAATGCTGTTTTTATACAGAATTAGACAGAGTTATCAGGTTTTCTGTGAAATGGGGAGTGTGACTGAAATGGAGCAGTGTTTGCAGGGTTTCAGCTTTTGAGAGAATCTCAGTGATTGAAGTGCATTATGTTGTACATTGATTTCAGTCTCTTTGTGTGAAAAGAAGCCTGGTTCCTGTTTTTTATCCTTCAATTTTTTTTTCACCTAGCAGCATTTCTACTAGATAATAGCATTTAGAACAGTATTCAGTTACGATGTTTTTGCCATTTAATTTCTCCATTCTTTTTTCATCATAAATCATTCCCACTGCCTCATCTTTTTAATATCCCAGTGAGAGACACATTATTGCAAATGAATACATACACTAGCACACACACACACAAAATGCCCAAATTTTTCTAGCAATGAAGCCGGCTAGCTGAAGAGCACTCGGCAAATCACAACTTGAGTACCACTACATATCCACTCTTTCATATCTCTCTCTCTCTCTCTCACATACACATACACACACACACACACATACACACACGCACACACACAAATGCAAAGACACAAGCAGGCCAGAGACAAATACAGCCAAGCAGGCCAGAGACATGCACATGACTACAGGCAACCACCCCCCCACCCACACGCCCCCCTCCCCCCTCTACTCACTTCCTTGTCCCCGCACTCCTGCCAGGCAGCAGCAGGCAGCCACCACAACTGCGAGTCCCACCATCATCTTGTCTCTGCCTCCCTTCTTCTCCCTCTGGTTACTTCAGCCTTCCACTGTCACTGGGCTGACACTGCTGAAATAAACAAATGTAACCATGGTAAATCAGACATCACTATGGCAACCATCCTGCTGAAATAGACAAATGTAACTATAGGAAATCAGACATCACTATGGCAACCATCCTGCTGAAATAGACAAATGTAACCATGGTAAAACAGACTGAGATAATAGTTTTTTTTTTTTTTTTTTCCATTACAGAACTCAGACCTCTGCTTCTTTGGATGCTGAAAAAATACTAAAATTTAATTATAAAAACTTTGGTATTTTCCAAACAGGAAGATACTACAACTTCCTAATTAAGGAGCTGTAAAAACAAAATCAATAATACTACGGTTGAATTACCAAGCGTAGGCATGCCAAAATTTTGTTACCATTTGCTCAACTGCTAGTCTAATAGGAAATATATAATTTAATCTACAAAAAATTGTTCCTTAACAATCAAACAGCACAGAAAAGCAACTATTATTCTTAATCAATATTAAAGAAAAAGGTGGCCAACATGCACATCACAACGAGGGAAAGTCATTAGACCCATTATTAAAACACCATCCAAAATTCCATATTGAGGAAATGTACCATGTGCCATCAAAACAAAATCAAAATTGTGCTTTATGCATAATACATACAGTCATAATACATACATACAATAATTCAGCTCCACCTCAAACTGATATTGCAAGTCTGGCAATCAAAGCGCCCTCATAGGAATGATCACCCTTGTTATCCATGGCTCGACTCATTCAGCAAGTTAGGTGATAAAATAGCCCTGGGATATGGATATTGGTCGAGTAACCACAAGCAGACCTTACATAACACGTCCTCCTACATCAGTGAATCAGTATTAACACCCTTCTAAGCCATGTATAATAAAACAAGCCATACTTGGCTGCAACAAGTAGCCATCGATCAAGGTCGCTTTTTCAACAACAAGCTAAGGTGCAAGTGCCCAGCAAAACTAGCATGTGAATTGATCTCGCGCCATCTATTTCCACAAAAACACGCATTAAATCACCAGATAATAGCCAACTCGGGAAATTAGACACTGGAGTTGTCAAACTTTGATATTGATTAATTAAAAGCGTCCCATTTCCTGGGAAAATACATGAGACATCTCTCTCAGTTCTGTCCTCTCCTCGCGCCCATTTTGTGACAGAAAGGGGGAGGGCGGGGGCGTGTCAGAAATTCAGATGAATACCAGACCAAAAAAATCAGCAACCTCTAAGAATCTAAATGATTGAGAGAATAAAAAAAATTCTGGTTGTGCAGAAACATTATATAGATTTTATTTCCATATCAACTGCAGGAAGCAGAGTTTTCCAACTGTGACAACATGAAAATGAACTAGCTACTAGACCATTCAATGAACAGGTCACAAATGGTAGCTACCTGACATGGAGGACCCTGAAGTGTCAGATAAGCATGCAACTAGATTCCTCAGTGTACATAAAACTTTGAATCCATTGATCAAAAAAAATCCATTCATTAAACAAGAATTTTTCATTGCCACCTACATTAAGAGTGCAAATAACTTTAAAATGTGCACCTTATATCTGAAATCCACCTTTTTTTTAATAATGTGCATCTTAAAAAATTCATGCAATATAAATAAAAATGTTTAAATGATACACTCATTAAAAACTATGGTTCCTCATTTGTGAAGTTTCTGACATCTCAACCAAGTTATCAAAAATATCTAAAACAAAACACATGGCAAGTCTTTTTGCTTAATCCCCCTTTAACTACTCTCTGTTTGGACCAGAATGAATCTGAGAAAGAACATGTCCAGCAATAAATAAAAACCATCCACAGCTTTTCAGCCACCCAAGAAGTGATGAGGGTCAACCGTGGTCATCTACTTGACCCTCCTGACCATCATGGCAGGTTCAAAGTGGTTTCCAGGGGGAAATACTTGCAGAATACTGGACATGTGTAAAACTTAAGTATCTTAGGCTCTGTTCTCACAACTTTTTAGATCGATCTATCACCGCAGGGAGTCTCACTAGATTACTGTCAGATAATCCGCCTTAAGTGTCCGTCCCCGCCTACTACAAGCAGAAAGGGATAATTAACTTTCATGTCCGCCCGGCTGACAGCTATTTAGCGTGAACCCCCAGGGAGTTAGGTCGATCCAATGTAGGTCGATCTAATCTATGAGAATGGGGTGTTAAACAGCAGTAAAATGCGAGTGGTGGGCAAGGAAATGAATAAAAATCTTGGGAAAGTTTTTGTTTTGTGTTTGTTCTATTAAACTAGCATAAAGGAAAAAAATACCCGCTGCCAGTGAACCTGTATTGAGATGCATGCAACTAAGCAACATATTCTTTCAATAATAATATCATTTAATAAAACAAATCAAATTTCAGTTTCTTTTTTTCCAAGACGTCATATTTTTTCCAGACTTGTTAACCAGTTGGACCACTTCAACCTCCTGATCCCAAACTTCATTCCAAACAACCATCCGTGCAAACACTGCTACAAAAACAACATCAATAATGTTACAAAAACAACCAATATTATTCTTCAGCCCCGCCTCAAAGAGCCCAAAAGCCGCCATTAAACATGTGCCTCCCTACACTTTCGACACAGTCACTCCTTTCTTCGGCACACCTGCGTACACTGGGCACCAGCCTCAACAAGATCAAAGGACCAATATGGCTACTCCCGCTCATTGATAATCGATTGTACAAATCTACTACCACCAATTGGTCGATATAACTTAAAGTAGCCCTCGTTACTGCCATTCTTTTCCTTATATCTTTTATTTAGTTAATCTAATATGCAGTAATGTTTTCTGTTACTTTATGGACTCCTTTTTAAGTGATTGGGGTTAATCAGAAAATACACTGTGATGTTTTTGTATTTAAACTTCAGCTTTCTGCCTGAAGCAATTGCACTCACAATAAAGATTTTTTACTCAACAATAAAAGCTTTTCTATCTCAACAAGGGTCCAAATATTTAAACTACCAAATCTTACAAAAGTGTTCGATAAAAATGTGGGCTTTAAGTTTCATCATCACTGCAAGAACTGGGATATTTTAATTAGAAAGCAGACTTTGCATAATGATAATTCAACAGCTAATAACCAATATTATCATCTTGAACAAATCTTGTAAAACTGATGTAAATATAACTTGAAACTTAAGACAAATAAGAAAACTCCCGCCCTAAAGTAAATGATGAATAATGCAAAATTCACCAGATACATCACCACATAAAAATCATTACACACCTTTTTGAAAGAACTTACACAAAAAATACATTCCATTTCATGACTGGCTCTATTACTACTGGAGTACATAATAGAGGGCTGTCAGGCAAGGTACAAGGTAAAGTTGAGTGGAAACAGAACTGGCATCTTCATTTCTGTCAAGTAGCTAATTCTTCATCTGGCGCCATTTTGTTGACAGCTATCACATGAGCACTTGTAGACGCTGTCTTGTTGTATCACTCTCAAAGTAATAGTATGAAAATACTTTTCTCTAAATCACTCAGAATACAGAACAGCCTGATTCATTCCTATTGCATTTTTTACTGACAGTTTCCAAGAGGCCAAATAAAACCTTTTTCTTTAACAGCATTCTCTCAATGAAAAGACAGCATCATCACTGAGTGTAGAATGCCAGATTAACACTATGTAAAAACAGGGTTGAATGCAAGACCCATGGTCAGCAGTAACCAGGACTCAACAGATGGGCATTACTCGCACAGTACAACAGTGATATATGATGTCAGGCAACAATTTTAGTTGTTCTTGCCCGCAAATGATAGTTGAGGTCGCACTAACACTCATTATGATCGCCAGATGCAAAAAAAAAAAAAGTCTTGTCGAGATAGGTAATCAAATTTGTAGTTCCCATTTGTTACAACTGATGAAGTGAAAAACAAATGCATCCAGCTGTAATTAGAACATCCCACGTTCTAATTCAAAGAAACTTCAATTCACCATATCGGAAGTTGACATGTGCTGTTTGCACCCAACAAAGCAGACCAATAAATAATGTTTCCAGTATAACCTAGCCTTGGCATTATCCATATCCTCATCTATTCTTTAACTGGGGCTCTTGGAAGGCTTTTAACTTTTCACACTAAGTGGTCAATACATCTTAAACTATGTAGCTGTCCTTCCATAGATTCCATAACACTTGAACAAAAGCTGCAGTCTCTCACTTTTATCTGTTCTACAGAGTGATATACAAAGTGATCAGCACACTGCCTGTACAGACACTTGAGATCCAGAGTCACATTCAAAGTGGTACACTACAGACCATCAATTCTCTTTAACTTTAAAATAAGAAAGCAGGCACTTGACTGCAATTTCCTGTTACCCATATAAGGCACTGTCATCACCCTCTTAATGAGTCTGGGAATAAACCAAGATACAAAATATTAACCGTCCACTGCCCCTCAAACCCACCTCCTTGTTACCCAGAAATTCAATTTCCCCAAGACCCATGAATCAATCACTTTATTTTGAAAGACTGTCTTAATATTTTCAATTCAGAGGATTCCTAAGGACTGATCTAGCCATTGTGCTTGTGCCACATAAAGGTGATTAATAAAAATAGGAATGACGGCAATGTGATATCTATTAGTCAACCAATCTTTAAGACCTTAAGAAATTGACAAAATAGTGGTTAATTATGACTTGGACAGTGGAGGATGGATTATCAGTTTTTTAAAACTATCTTCTATCTCTAAATTTCAACAGATGATAAACTGGGTGGAAAAAAAGATCTTTAATTCCTGGACAAATCAGCCAATTTTCCCTCTAGTAACAGAACTTGAAAAGGTGACTGATCCATCACCACCTTCACAAAACTACAGGCAATTTATATTCTGATACCAAAACTTGTTCAAGTGATTTATTAATGTAGAAAACATTTTCTATGCACCATTACCTACAAGTCATTCCACGTCATAATTAGACAGTATAAGTCAATATTTTCATATTGTCTATAATCCGACTTTCTAAATAGGATTTTTCTGAGGAAATGTTTCATAATGCCATTCAC